ACAGCAGTTTGTGAACCTCCATGTGCAGATTTCGTGGCAGGCGCAGCGCTTTGTGAACCTCCATGTGCAGATTTCGTTGCAGGCACAGCACTTTGTGAACCTCCATGCGCAGATTTCATGGCAGGCACAGCATTTTGTGAACCTCGAGGTGCAGCGTCTGTGGCAGGCACAGCACTTTGTGAACCTCCATGTGCAGATTTCGTGGCAGGCACAGCAGTTTGTGAACCTCCATGTGCAGATTTTGTGGCAGGCGCAGCACTTTGTGAACCTCCATGTGCAGATTTCGTGGCAGGCACAGCTGGAAACTGAGAACTGGCGACTTTGTAGGACAACTTTAGTACGCGGAGTATGTCGCGAGCTGGAAGATGAGAACTGGCGACTTTGTAGTACAACTTTAGTACGCGGAGTATCTGGCGAGCTGGAAGATGAGAACTGGCGACTTTGTAGTACAACTTTAGTACGCGGAGTATCTGGGGAGCTGGAAGATGAGAACTGGCGACTTGGTAGTACAACTTGAGTACGCGGATGAGTCATCTCTCGCGGCTGAGTCATCTCTCGCGGCTGCTCTGGCGCCCCTGCAGCTGAGTCATGTCTCCCGACCACCCGGCTCTCTTGACAAATTTTAGTTACTTTGCTTACTCAAAAGCAGTCATTTCGATTACTTTCTGGAGACCTCAAAGCACGTGTTTTGAGAAGTTGACAAACTTGAGCTAATTAGCTTCGTGTCTTGACAACATCATAGTTAACCTAGAGCTATGCTTCATTCATCACTCATCACTCATGCGGATTCATGCGTCTGACTGAGGGACACGAGGGACACGCATGGTGGAAAGAACAGGGACACTCCTATAGGTCAACTTGTTCTTATAGGAAACTTCCGGCGGCGGCTTGCCCGGGAACTACTGGTTACTAGAAGCGATGCACTTGTTACTAGTAGTTTCTTGTTTCTAATTGCTGAGAGCAAGCGACATCAAAGCCTGGGTCCGAAATGCCGCACACACCTCTGGAGGTAAGGCGGAAAGAGTGACATCGAAGTGAATGTCAAAACATGTAGGACAAAAAGAGGAAAGCGGAAGGGAGCCAGCGGACTACCTGTGGTTCGCAAGTTCGATGTGACAGGCATGATGTGTCTGCGGTTCACAAATCGTTTTCGTGATCTAAGAACAAGAAACTACTAGTAACAAGTGCATCGCTTCTAGTAACAAGTGCCTTACTAGTAGTAACAATGTTTGCCATTAGAAACAACTCCTTGAGTTTGCAATGCGACTCGCACTCCAAGCTACTTTAGCAGGGCCTGTTGATCCCTAGATCTCTAAAGACTCTAAATGTGTTTTCTACCCTCACTACCATTCTTGCTACTGTTGCTACTCATACTACTGCGGCTGCTCCTACTGCTAGTAATCAATGATATGCTTTGAAAAAGGATTTGGTATCATTTTTTGATTGTTTTCATTGTAGGAGCAAGGACGCTACTAGGGGCTTCTGGCCTTACTACTAGGAGCAAGGATGCTACTAGGAGCAAAGGGCATCACTACGAACGGAGCAAGGACGCTAGTAGGTTGGAGGCCATCTCTAGTAGATTCTTGTTCCTAATAGTAAGGCCAGGAGCCCTGTTCGTAGCGATGCCCTTTTCGCTTTATCGAAGCAAAACCTCGGTCGACTTCGTTCAGCCGGAGGCGCCGGCGATTGTCGATCTCTTGGGCCTCCAAAGTGAACGAGGCGCACAGCGAGAGCGGAGGTAGCAACTAGCTACTAGTACGCTGTACGTTCCTACATATGGACGCAGGATAGCGCAGTTCCTAGATGATTTGGTTCCTAGATGATTTTGGAGCTTTAGCCTGAGTATAGCAAGTAAGAGGTAAGCAGCATGGACGCAGCAAAGCCCTCACACTATTCATTTGGTTTCAAACTTTTTTGGGGGAACTTGACTACGAGATTCTTTCTTCAGGATGCAGATAAAACGTCAATGCAAACAAGTAGCAAATGACTCAAGTGAGAGAGAGTTTCGTAAGAAGGCACAACTTTGAAAGCGAATAGAAGGCAAAAATTCAAGAAGCCCGAGGCTCCGGCTCCCTTGGAGGTTCCCAAGCAACTCGGTGACGCAGAAGCATAGACTGAAAGAACAAAAAACACAGACGATCTGAAAAAAAAGATTGACAAATGAAAAAAATTGACTTGCAACAGAAGCAGCTTCTAGAATTCAAGAGTTTCTCCCGCATTTGCTTTTCGCTCCGATCATTCCTTTTCTTTTGTGCCACTTCTGTTGTCGGCAATCTTTTGCTTGGTTGCTTGATCCAAGTGGACAAGAAGCTGCACTCGAGTTTTCATGGTTCCATCCTTTTTCGTGAGCGCTTCTCAGCTCAAAGAAAGGCCCCTCATTTGAGGCCATTGCTTCCAGTGCAGACGCAGGAGACGGGAGTTCGTTGATGTCAATTGAGGAAATTAACATGTCTTTTTTAGGGGGGTAGGCCATAGAGGTGGTAGCTAGAGGTAGCTAGTAGAAGAGGTAGCTAGCAGCTTAAGTAGCTACCACTTAGGATGCAGGATAGGAAGCTCCCCCTGCCTGT